TCCTTCGTGTGTGTCGAGGTGAGCAAACTGCAGATTCCTGAGAAGTTTTGGGAAGAACATGTGAATGCATAGCCACACCAAATGAGCTCATTGGCAGTCCTGCAGGGAAGGTCTTAGATCTGAATAGCCTGGAATTAGTGTTGACAAGGGTGATTAAATCTAGGACCTCTAAATTTAAATCTCAAGTTTTGCTGCCTTCAACCTGTAACACCTGGCTCTGATTCTGAGAGCATATCCATAATCCTCATATTAGATTTTCACTGTAATGAAGTAGCTTGTTCACATTATTAAAGTATAGAATGTATTAGAAACAGCTATGCTGGTTAATTTAAATCTTGAATTTGTTCCTAGTTGTGTGATGTTTGCTGTGGTATCTTCTGGAGCAAGTTTACTGTTCAAGTTCAGGCTGTATTTTCTGTGGTTTGACTTATTCAGGAGACTGTAGTGCTTGAGAAGTTTCTGCCCCATCCATGAGGCACAAGTAGCTGAATCAGACATCTGTGAAATGGTTATTTTAAAGAAAATAAAAATCGATTACCTCCAAACCTACTGTGAGATCTTGTGGGGTTTTGAGTGTGTATAACAGCAGTCTTCACTTGTTGTAGTCACTGGGGTCGTTGAACTAGCTGTACCTGAGCTGGCATGATAACTCTGGTGGAGTTTGTAGAAACAATGGTCATGGAGGAGGAGAGCAAGGACCTTTAAGTTGGTTTGACTGGATGAAGGAAAGCTGGAAACTTCTTTCTACATTTCCTCCCTCATTTTATTTCTCAAAATGTCCTTCATGACATGGAATGGGTCTGTTGGGCAGGGGCAGTGACAGTGCCAGGGGACTAGCACAGAAGCCCACTTCATTTATGGAGCAGTCTTCCCCTTTTGGAATAGCAGAAGCTTTGGGGGAAAGAAATAAGATGCAAATTAGAAAATGGCAGTTAAAAAGAACTGAGCACAAAGGATAAAGTTGTTTATTATTAGTTTTGGCATTCTGCAGACTGGCCGTTAGTTTAGAGGTTAAAACAAGTCTAATCAGGTTCTGGATGGTGTTAGGGGCCCATGTGCCATAGCCCAGTGTCACCATCACTTCAGGTTGCTTAGGTCAAATGAGCCCAAATCTGCAAGCTGTGACTCTCGCTGACCTACGGGTGTGTTTGTCACTGAAGGAGAGGATTGGATGACTAAATATGACAGGTGGGATATTCAGAAATGTG